GTAGAAAGGGGGAACCGATTACAAGGATCTACATATAACCTCCTCCCTGGGGGATGGACAACAGAAAAGTGAGTGAAGGGAGACATCAAGCAGTATAAGATATGACAAAATAATAATAATTTATAAATTATCAAGGGTTCATGAGAGAGGGGACAGCGGGAAGGAAGGGGGGAAATTGAGGAGCTGATCCCAAGGGCTCAAGTAGAAAGCAAATGTTTTGAGAATGATGATGGCAACAAATATACAAATGTGCTTGACACACAATGGAGGGATGTATGGATTGTGATAAGAATTGTATGAGCCCCCAATAAAACGATTATGAAAAACAAACATTTACTCTGTGGATAACCTAAATAGTGCCCAAGTTCTGTGATAGATATAGTAGAGAGTAGTTCTCTAGAGGACCCAGGTTACAATTCTTAGGGCACTTCTTGCCTGTACGTGCTTTATGTGCCTGGAAGTGAGTACTTTCAGTTATGCTGTGAATGCAGGGGAGGTTTGTGATCTTGAAGTGACACTGAAGAATCACACAAAGGACTCACATGAGTGCTAATTATGTGAGCCTTAGCACAGTTCTTGTCTTTCCAGTTCAAGCAGGATGGCCAAGTCACTTGCCTGGAGCTTTGTGAGATGCCACTATCAGAGCTCTGGGGCCATGCACTCGCCTGTTCTAATGGATGCACTTATCCGCCTCATAGTTTCCTGGGAAATGAAGTGCGTGGGCTTTGGGTGGAGCTGTTACATAGGGGGAAAGGCACCAGGTAATGGCTGTGCGTTGCTGTGTCTAGGAAGGACTCTTGGATGTAGAGAAGTTAGAATGTGAAGATGAGCTCACTGGGACCGAGATCAGCTGCCTGCGTCTTAAGGGTCAAATGATCTACTTACCCGAAGCAGATAGCATACTTTTCCTGTGTTCACCAAGGTAATGACTTCTAGATTAATTATAATTAATAAAATTATCCTTCGTGCATAACAATGGAGATCCAATACAATTTTATTCAATTACATCAGCATATTCTGAAATACAGTTATATTGTATAGCCTTTGTGATACACTCTTTAATAACAAGGATAATCTAATTTAATGTGCGTCAATATACTCAGAAGATATTGGTAATAACTTTGATTGATTTACTTCCTATGCATTAATCAATTTGCTTATTAATTTAGGGCGTTCGATTATGAGATATCTAATCTGTTATTGCCTAATTCTGTAGTTTTGTACCTTCAAAAGAGCCATCATGTAGAATAGAAAAGTAATTCAATAAAATATCTAATATGATGGCATCAATGTATGAAGGCCTTTGGCACCCATAAATAATATGTTCCACAGTACTGGTATTAAAAACTGTAAAATCACTCAACTTAAATCTAGATAAGTACTATTTTATGTTAAAATAATTTAATTACCTTAATCAGGGTGTACTGTTCAAAATATATTATAAAATTTAATCATATAGAAAATATTTTCAAAATGTCAGAGGAATAAAACTTGTAGATTAGTGTTTTTTGCACTTTAAAAAAGAATTCTACTAGATTATGCATGGGGAAACAAAGGTAATTCAAATTTGTTTATCACCATAATTTTTCTAACTATTATACTTATTTGAAAAATATTTGTGAACTGTTGTGAGATAGTTTAGGTATTTATAAACTATGTGTTCCTAAATGTATACATATTATTATCTTAAAATGGCTAAAGAAAATCTAATAATCTTTGTTTTATTAGGACAATTTTAAGACTATATTGAATATGACTTTTCCCCCTAATATATATATAATATTAAAGTAAAGAGATAAAACGAGAATAAAAATAATTTATGTTTTTAGTCCACATTGGTTTAAGTATATTTCATCTTTTATCAATAAATGTTTTCTTCTGTGTCTTCCTAGTTATTGTCCTTCCTAGTAGGATGAGAGTTACTTAGTAGGCAAAATCTCTGTTCTTAGAGAAAAAATTTTCTTTGGAAATGAGAGGAAAGAAATTTTGTTTAATTCAGTGTGCAAAAATTGATCACAACGCTACCCATTCAAGTGGTCTTCTGGCACCTACTTATGAGTTGAAAGATCTGTGTGCACAATGAATAAATAAAGTGAGCTGTCAATTAGAAACATCTTTGCTTGCAAAATAGATTCTTTTAAAGCAATTAGAGTAAAGGTAAAACTGTTTATAATGCATTAAAAATAATAAATGTGCTTAGAACAATGAGATTTTTCTACGTTAGCTAGCTTTTGTGATTCAATATGAAAGGAGGCCAGTGGCTCTCTGAGATAGCATTGATGGCTAACCACAAGGTCTCTGGTTCAACCCACTCACCACTCCATGGGGACCAGATGAGACTCTGCGCCCACACAGATTTACAGTCTTCAGAGCCATAGGAAGGGCGGCTGTGAGTCGGAATGGACTTGATGTCAGTGAATCTAGTCCATTTTGAACATTTCTAACCTATCTTTTCATTTTAAAGATAACTTTATTTTCACTCTTTTCCTCTCTCATGAGCAGGTCTTGTGTCACTTAGCAGACAGGGGACCAGTTTACACATCGGTTGATTTCCGCAAGTGGACTTTATTTGCATATTGATTTTGACAAAACCAATCTAAAGTCTATGTACTTTATGAGTAAGCTTCTGATAATTTCTCTATGTGGCTATGCGAATTTTTGTTTTGATTTATGACAGTTCTCATAATATGTATGTATATATATATATATATAATTGAGATCTTTTATTTATCCAAGATGCTTCAGTAAAATCATACTTCAATTATGTAATTTTGGAGAAATACATATTGTAAATGACCATAGATAATTATTTTGCATCATCTAAAGTATGCAAACTGATAATAAGACCTTAGTACATTTTAGCCAGAGGGTAAAATGAAACATAAATAAAAACCAGCCAATTTTTGACTTTTAAGTTCTTTACTGGATCTATAAGCATTACTACATTGTTCTAAGAAGTAAGCTAAGATAGTTACAAAGATGAAAAGAATTAGCAATCTCAAATACTTTTCTAAGTAAGCAAGAAAAATTAGTAAAAGAAATAAGAATGAGAAGTAAGAGTAGCACATACACTACACGTCAGAACATCTTAACTGTATTAGATACATGTGGAAGAGGGATCACAAATCTGGCTGTAAACTTTTAATCATCACGTTCAGAAGGAAAAGCCAATCAGTCACAAGGGTCTCATAAATCACAAGGGAACACGTTTCTCAAAAGTAAACATTTTCCTAGATACACATTTGTCTTCAAACAAAACAAGGAAGCAGTGTGATAATAAATTACAGCCTGGTCATAAGCCCCTAAGTTTGATGAGCAATCTTCTCCATTGACTTTCTGTTTAGAGGAATGGCACCATCAAAGTGCCATTTGGCACAGATATCGGGTTGCTATAAATCAGAATTGATTTGATGGCAGTGAGTTTGGAGATGTTTCAATGTGTCTCCTTTATGGTACATTTCACTCACATGAAAGAATAAAGCCGTATTCTTCACACAAGTTTTCATATTTTTTCCATCCAGGCTGAGCCTTTGCACGGCAGCAGGTGGCAAGATTGTGTTTCTTGACAGTCGTAAGTAATGCGTCACAGGACTTGGGCTAATTTTGTCACATGGTTTTGTGTGCTTAACCAGTGTGATGAATCTGGATGATTTGACGAGAAGAGGTCTGTATTTGAGTGACATCCCTCTCCATGATGCGACTCGAGATCTTGTCCTTTTGGGAGAACAATTCAGAGAGGAATATAAATTGACCCAAGAACTGGAAATCCTCACAGACAGGCTGCAGCTCACGCTAAGAGCCCTGGAAGATGAAAAGAAAAAGACAGACACGTAAGAATTTAACCTGTGGGGAACCTCAGTGGTATAGTGGGTTATGTGCTGAGCTGCTAACCACAAGATCAACAGTTCGAACCCACCAGGTGAGAGAAAGATGAAACTGTCTATTCCGGTCAAGAATTTAACCAGTGTCGTTCAAGAAAGGCACAACTGCTATTCTGGCTATACTGAGATTCTCCTTTAGTTAAGTGGCAACAGCGGCCTGGAGATCTACTTCCGAAATTCATTTGATGAGCAGGCCCTGTATTCTAAAGCAGATTGAGCTGCTCACTGCCAGATGGGCAGTGCAAAGCCACCAGCCACTCTGAGAAAGAAAGAATGAAGTTGTCTGCTTCTGGACAGGTGTCACTTCAAAGAGCCCTGTCCTGCTCTGTCCTATGCAGGGTGACGATGAGTCAGAATTCCCCCGATGGCAGTGAGCAGATAAGGATGTATCGCAAGAGTCTGACTGGCCCAGCATTTTGTTTCCGGGTGTATGGGGCTGCTAAGAGTTCCAGGCAGACTGCATGGCAACTAACCAGAGCTAAACTGAGATGAAAAGTCACGGATCCAAAGCTCTGGAGTCATCAATACAACCCTCCAGCTCTCTGTTAACATGAAAAGAATGCTCACAGAATTAAATCAGTCTGAGGATAGTAAGACTATGGTTTCTATTTTTAAAAGCCAAATGGAAAGGACACCCTTTTTAAAAACTGAAAATATCATTAGAATTGATTAGATGCAATGACTTTAAAAAGTTCATTTATTAACTCGGTGATCAATTCAGAAAAGAGCTAGGTGCTTGACATCTTGGTGCTGGGGCCTAGCTGGGTGCTGAGGGTTAGGCTGAACATGGAATTGACCGTTATACTCAAATAGTTCCTTCTCCTGAATATGAATTATGTTAGGGCTGGGCAGATATGAATCTAGCCTAATAGACATTAACAAAAATATCACAATCTCATGATTATTTTTCTGTGACTGGCTGATAAAGTTGTGATGGACGTTAAGGATGTACCCTTTTCAAGTAATATATTTGAACAAATACTTATTTAAAATACTCATAATGCAGACAGCTTAGCCTTGCTTCCAAATATTTATTAAAACCCCTCAATCTCTGAAGTTCTTAAATGACTTTACCCTGTTTCCCAATGTATTTGTGTTTGATATTTCATAATAAGCCATCTTGGTGGGGAATCCAACACTTCACTTCCTGTAAGAACTATTTGGCTCTCTTTATACAAGTACCATTCTTGTCTGAATCACCCAGCCGGCCCGGGTAGAACACTAACTAGCTACAGCAGCAGCAGCTGATAAATACCTATCGCCGAACTATTATTTTTGTTGTTGTTTTGGATCCCCGCATTTTGGTTTGGCTTTCTAAAATTATCTAGTTTCTGTGTTATTAATTGTACCTCAGAATCCTTATTTTATCTTTTAAATGTGAGACTTAAAATAGATCTTATTTTGTAGATAATTGATTTCCCAGATAGTGAAATGATAAAACATTTTGGTTGATTTTCTAAGTACTTCCAGTATTTCTATTCTATATTCAAAATTTAGCTTTAAATATTGTATACAGTGGTTTCTGCTTTAAAAGTTACAAATGGAAGCTGGATGGATTTCCTGGTAGCTAGGAAAATCGCTGGAGACTTTGACTCCATTTCAAATATTTAAACTCAAATTTGACTTAACTTTTTACATGTCAGAATGAGCCATAAATGGAACTAGAGAGATAACCTACCTGCTTCTTATAATATTAGTTAATTATTGTAAGTTATCAGTTCTAACAGTATTAGTTAAATTTATTATAAAAATTAATATAAATTTCTTATTCCTGCGATGTAAGCTGCTTTCTATTAATGGGCTATACATACAACATTTCTTGGTAGATTTCAGGGGCTTCATGAAAGTTCGTGAAAAAAACTCCATTATCTCCTCATTCAAATTTTCCACAAACTTTCTGAAGTCCTCTCAGATGACAGCAGACCAAGAAGTTTGGAATACCAATGAAAACTGAGTTTCTTTTGCCAGTCCTTGATTTTTTTTTATTTGCTTTGGTTTGGAAATGTCTTACATGACTAAAATGAATACCTGGTGTACAATTCCTATATGTCCATTTATAAATGTGGCTTATAATTTGTGAGTTTATTCTATTAGAATCCAAGTGTTTGCAGTACAAATGTCAGTGATGTTCTATGAAAAGGAGAATAGAAAGACCCCAATTATCCTAGAGCCTCTTAAAAGCTTTTTTCCTAATCCCAACAAACAGGTTGCTGTATTCGGTCCTCCCTCCATCTGTTGCTAATGAGCTGAGACATAAGCGTCCAGTGCCTGCCAAAAGATATGACAACGTCACCATTCTCTTCAGTGGCATTGTGGGCTTTAACACCTTCTGTAGCAAGCATGCTTCTGGAGAAGGGGCAATGAAGATTGTCAACCTTCTCAACGACCTCTATACCAGATTTGACACACTGACCGATTCACGGAAAAATCCCTTCGTCTACAAGGCAAGTCGTATCCTAGTCTGTTGCTGCTACTAGTGCACAACGTAGTGCAACACGGCCCAGTCCCGTGCCATCTCCAGAGATCATTCACTCACTCACTCTGACCGTATGATCCATATGGTTTTTGTTGAAGGGTTTTTTGTGGGTCTCGCTTCTTAGTCCATCTTAGTCCAGAAGCTGGGCTGCAGTCTGTTCAGCAACATAGGAATAAGCAAGCCTTCAGTTGGGTATGACAGGACTGGTCTTGCCTGAGCATGATCAGGAATCAGACTCAGATCTCCCACATGGATGGCAAGAATCCTACCACTGAGCCAGGACCGCCCTCCTGTCCGCCCATCATAGCCTAATACAGTGGTTTTCAGAATTTGGAATTTCAAACTCCTACCCTCAGGAAGGATTGCTCTTAGTTTTATGGCTAACGTGACCGCAGCCTTGGAAAAAGCTTCCATTTATTTGGCATTTGCCATTTTCTGAAATAATTACATCTTGTTAAAAACTTTCTCTTCCTTGTAACCAAAATGAACGTTTCCTGGAGCAGATGATTCTTGGTACAAAATGAAATGTTCAGCAGCTTATCTGCACTTAAGGATAACAAATCTGTGCAGGTTGTTCATCATATTAAGTATAAACACATTTTATTTAGTGCTCTGCAAGAGATATTTTTATTCTCATTCATAAATTTGACAGTAAAAAAGTCATGGATCGTGGGAAAGGTCCTGGGACTCACATTTGCCTTCAGATAACATCAACTTGAAGATAAACATGTATAAGGAATTTCTGTCCTTTGTTTCATTAGAAACAAATGTATTCCTGCGGAAAATAATTCAGTGGAATATTACTTCATAAAGGCAAGAATGCAGCTAAACCTCCCCTAGGCATCCGAGGTCATAAAAGAGCTACAAAGACTATTTATTTTATAGTCTTTTTCTGAAATATAGTATAGCACTTGGTGAGCACATCATAAAAAGTAAATGAGTAATGACCATGATAAATCATTGAACATAAGACAGTGGCCCTTATACCATCAGTGTTTTAGGGGGTAGAGATGAGGGGTGTTGGTAATAAAGTATTTTATTGGATTATAACAGGAGCTTGGGCAGCACAATGGCTGCTAAGAAAAACATGGAACCCACCCACTAGCTTTGTGCGAGAAAGGACGTGTTGGTCTGCTTTCATAAATATTACAGCAAACCCTCTGAGGCATCTCCATTCTGTAATCAAGGGTCACGATGAGTTGGAACCCTAGTGGTTTAGTGGTTATGTGTTGGGCTCTGATCTGCACGGTTGGCAGTTTGAAACCACTAGCAACCTTGTGGGAGACAGACTGAGCTTTCTACTCCCATAAACAGTTAAAGTCTAGGAAACACACAGGGGGTTGCTCTGAGTCAACAGTGACTCCAGGGCAGTGAGTTTGGTTTGGTTTTGTGAGTTGTAATAGACTCGATGTACCCACAACAAATTGAATGATAAGATCTGATTTAAGGAACTAGTGCTTCCTAGAAAAAATTCATGCTCCATCTTAATCTGCCTATAATCCAAGACTCCAAGTGCTGCATGTGTGAATTCAAATACAAATATTTATAAGGCTGTGTCTGTGGGAGTTGAGTGCATTATGATTTTTTAAAATAATTTCAAAGGGGTCAGTTTACAGTTGTTGGTATCCTTGGTTTCGAAACGTTTGTTTTTGTATAAGCATAGTAAATGGAACAGTCATTTTGATGCTAACCAAGGACCATCTATGTGTGTTGTGTTAGGTGGAGACTGTGGGCGATAAGTATATGACTGTGAGTGGTTTACCAGAACCTTGTATACACCATGCACGATCCATTTGCCATCTCGCCTTGGACATGCTGGAAATTGCTGGTCAAGTTCAAGTAGATGGTGAATCTGTTCAGGTCAGTAAATAGAAAAGATACTATCACAGTGGTAGTTGACACTTACTGGGAATTGACTCAGATTCTTGACCAGGCAGACATTGTCTGATATGTATAAGGAAGGAGGCCTTAATATAAAGATTGTCATACTTTATTAAACCCATGGCACTCTTATTCTTTCATAGAGTTGGGAATTTTCTCTACTTCTTTGAAATAATCTGGTCTACACTTGTGCCAAAAGTCATGAACATGCAATGAAACTTGTTGCCACTCCGGTTTATTCTCTAAAAATTCTCAGTTGAGTATCATGTAAATTGCCATATTCACATCTTTGAAATCTTCAAATATTAGAAAGAGAAATTTTTCTTGGAAGAAAGAACTTTCAGGAGATTTTGTTTGGGGTGTTGGTTTGTTCTGTATATACCTGGAGTTTGTCAAGATGATTTATATGATTTTAAATGATGAATCTGCATTATGCCATAGTAGAAAGTAAACAACGTTAGCGTGTACCGGATAGAGGTTATTGAAGCACAGGTCTTGTTTTTGCAGATAACAATAGGGATACACACTGGAGAGGTGGTTACAGGTGTTATAGGACAAAGGATGCCTCGATACTGTCTTTTTGGGAATACTGTTAACCTCACAAGCCGAACAGAAACCACTGGAGAAAAGGGAAAAATAAATGTGTCCGAATACACATACAGGTAGGAGGAAATGTCTTGATAATAACCGATTTCCAAGGGAAATGTCTCTTCCGGAGGTGTAATCTCTGAGAGACTGCGCGCCCTTTAATCAGTCATCCCAGCCTCTCTCATCATTACGTACGTGTGTTGTTTTGAGACGGCTGCATCATTGTTTCCCTTTTGCGCGGCTCCACACCACCATAGAAGCTGTTACTACAGCCTTCGGTTCCCTTTAAATACAACGTTAGTAGGTGTCCTAATTGTCTCAGTTTCTGTGTTGGGGCTGTGTCACATGTTCCTTACAGCCTTTGTAGACTTCACTCCCTACTGTCTTTTAGATGTCTCATGACACCAGAAAATTCAGACCCGCAATTCCATTTGGAGCACAGGGGACCAGTGTCCATGAAGGGCAAAAAAGAGCCAATGCAAGTTTGGTTTCTATCCAGAAAGAATACAGGAACTGAGGTATGGCGAATCAAAGAGTAATTCTTTTTATAAAGGTAATATAAAGATGGAGATAAATTAGAATCACCAAAAATATATGGCATTTAAAAATAATTCTTACAGACATTAACTCTTAAGTAAGGCAGTGGAAATACTAAAACATTATTCAGTAGTTAGAGCAATAAATAGTGCTTAGAAATTCTATCATCACCTGCTTTTGTCTTGTACTGAAAAAACAAACAATAAAACACAAGATCTTGAACACCTGGGGGGTTTGTTGTTGTTGTTCTTCCTCTGTAATCTGGCCCAAACACCATTCTGGTATGTGGGCTCTGAGGGAACCACTGTCCCTTTCTTTCCATGCCCTAAGTCAGTGGTGAGCTCACCACAAGGGTTGGGTGTAGCCTGCAATTCATGGGAGCTTTCTTAACAATGAAGCTTGAGATTCTCCTTGGGACTAATACATGTACCTCCTTGTGGAGCGTTTGGGAATTTGGAGAAAATCCTCATCCCATGATTGTTTCTTCTAGAGAGAAAATGGATGTGTATTGCCCAGAATCTACATGATTCCATGGGGAAGATTTGGGTTCTTGTTAGTGGTGTGGTTTATTCCAGCCTGTACTCAGGTGAGAGGGCTTCCGACACCAGGCAGTCCACATTGGACTCCACAATTGTGGGATTGAACTCACTAAAGTGATGCCCAGTGACCACCTTCTCACACTGTTAATTCACAAGCAAGTTTGATACTTTGTGCCCTGCTGTATTGGTTCATTATATATGTTTTATGTACTATACTTTCCTTTAAAATGTTTTTATTAAAATATCTATCGGTGGTTCTCAACCTTCCTAATGCTGCAATGACTCTTTAAGACAGTTCCTCAAGTGGTGGTGATCCCCAACCATAACATTATTTTCGTTACTACTTCATAACTGTACTTTTGCTACTGTGATGAAGCGGGTGACCCCTGTGAAAGGGTCGTTCATCCCCCAAAGGGGTCGTGACACACAGGTTAAGAACCATTTCTAAAGGGAAGGACATAGTGAGTTTGGGTATGCGTATTGTCTTTCAGCTGCTTTTGTTTTAAATAATTTACCCATGGGTTGCCATGCCAGTGAATGCTCTTCTGATAAATCAAGCTGTACTTTAACTGCTAGTAAGTCTCGGTATTAGGCCGTTTCATTCAGAATCATGGTGGGGAAATCCTAAAATTCTGACCTTATTAGCAAAACCTGTTCATATCAATTAAGGTTAATATCAGTCCTAACTCTAACCCTAATATTACAGTATTAGAGTGAGAAAAACCTAGGCATATTTTGTTTTATTGTGTTCGGTTTCACTTTGTTGCTCTTCACAGATAATTGCTTTTTTTTTTTTTAAACAAATTGAAGGTTTATGACAACCATACATCAAGCAACTCTACGGCCACCATTTTCCAACAGCATCTGTGTATTTCATGCCTCTGTATCACATTTTTATTATCCTCACAGTGTTTCAAACTTTTCCATAATGCTATTTATTGCACACTTGAATAGACTGCAGTCTGGTAAACAATCGTGTGACTTGCTTTAGTACATCTACCTGGAATGGAGTATCTTCAAGGTATGACTATATGTGGGTGGAGCTGTGCGGGGTGATGCAAATGGTTTGCACTCCACTAGTAATTGAAAGGTTACCTGTTTGAACCCAGCCAAAGAAGAAAGTCGAGTGGTTATCTTTTTTTTTTTTAATCATTTTATTAGGGGCTTATACAACTCATCACAATCCATACACACATCAATTGTGTAAAGCGCATTTGTGCATTCATTGCCCTCATCATTTTGTTAAGATTACAGCCAAGGAAACTCTATGGAGCAGTTCTGGTTGGAATAGTGACAATGGGCTTGGGTTTCTTGGTTCGACTAGTTTATTAATGTCAAAAATTAAGCCCCTATTTCTTTTACATTTTTCAGGAAACAAAGCAAGATGATATCTGAATCTTGGATTGCGTGACGAAGAGGAATACAGATTAGCTTTGAGCTGTCCCATAACTCATGCAATCCTAGTCGCGATTCATCTACTTTGGAGACATATTTCACACAGTCTGTTTTCAATGATCTCGAACCTTCCTCCTAAGAATATCTCTCACTGCTCATTATCTACCTTTTGCTCAGCTTTTGATGATGTCATTTAAGGTCTTAGTTTATTTTCTAGTGTATCTAAAGTTTAGCTTTAGATGTGGGTGATGTGACCTACATATGTCTTAAATTCTACTGCAAGCATTTACCTAGCATGGTGACTTGCACGTAGTAAGCACCCAATCAATACCTGTTGAATTTAATTCAATCAAATTGAGCAGTATCTGGCCATGTATGTGCATTGCATGGTTTACCAAATCTGATTAGTGCTTCATATATACGTGTACATATCTATATATATAAATGACTAACATATAACAAAGTTTATATAGTGTTGGTATAGATCATCATGGGTATTATTTTCTAAAGGGAGGAACTAGGAGTTTTAGGGAAAAGACCATTTATTTTTAGATTTCCAGAGTCAAAATTCATCTGTCATGCTCAGTAGATGTAACCATTTTGAAATTTGCTAAATTTCCTTCAGAAAAATGAACTAAACTTTTCTGTTATTAAAATATGTGACTGTGGATTCAAATTCTGTGGCAATTATGATTTCTTGGACGTTTCTGTCATTTTAGACTGTATGCCTCTTATTGATATCTTTAATCCTGTACAGCCATCATGGACAGCTGTGCTGTGTCCCACGGAGCTGTTTTGCAATGGCTTCAGCGAAATGTCTGGGGCTCTAGCCAAATCCAGGAATGAACCTGGGAACACCCTCCTGGGATGATCCTTTAAGAGGCTTTCCTGGTCTTTTCTTCCCAGAAGTGAGTTAGCTTAAGAGACTGTGATTATATTGAGGACACCATGTTCAGAAACATTAGTTTAATTTCGACATAGAAGGAATTAGTATAATTGTTCGGTTTTTCTTACATGGCTCAGATAATTTATTAATTACTATCTTTATAAAATGTAGTGCATCTGCTTTTCTGTAAGATATTAGTTGTCTTAAGTTTAGTATTTCGTATCAACACATCAATATGTGTATAATTGTTTCATGTTAATGTGTATAAGAATCTGCATTAAATTATTTTTTTCCACTTGTCTCTAGCTGGTTTTCATTTTGAGAAAGTAGTACTTTGATTACTGTTTCTCATTCTATCAATGACACGTTTGTAAACATATTTTATCATTTTAAATAATGCACACTTCAAATTATGTTTTTAATTTACTACTGTCAAAAAATTGTAAGTAGATTAGTCATTCTGTAATACTTAGATTAATAATTAGTAAAATTATTACTGTCAAATAATTTTAAGTAGATTAGTCTTAAATACTGCTTTTATTTTGTACCAACAAAGTGAGGTAAACAAGACTAGATGAGGATGAAGTAAGAAGTAGATATATATAAAGTATGACATATAAAA